TGATGCTCCTGCCCTCTCCAGGACCTCCAACTCCACCTCGGCTACCACCAGCACTCCTCGAAATAGCACCCCTAAGACTAGCACCCTCGGATACACCACGTACAGAACCAGCACCCCCAGATTCAGCACCCTCACAACCCACACCCCCAAAACGAGCACCTTCAGAGCCAATTGCTGCCTGCTGCTACGACTGCTATGACCGCTGAGTCTGCTGCAACTGCCACTGCTGCTGTTGCTGAGGCGGGGAGGGAGGCGGCTGAGGAGCTTGGGGGACCTGGGCTCAGGGAGCCGCCACACGGACAGCATGCGCACCCCCAGCAGCTGGGCCCCGAGAGACGGCAGACTCCTCCACGGGCCCGATCGAGGGGAGCGGAATGGCATGAGAGACACCAGACGGGGCTGGGTGATGTGGGGGGGGTGCGGCAGGCAAGTCAGTGGCGAGGAAGAGAGGGGGAGGAGAGAGAGGAGAGTTGCGGTGAGGAAATTGTAGGCAGTAGGGGAGCATCTTATAGAAGGTAACGTTACAAGAGTTGTAGAAGCGGTGGTGTACCGGGTGGTAAAACAGCCAGCTAGGGGCATCAAGCAAAAACCCCAGTAAGATACAAGGAAGGGTGCAAGGCTGTCTTGGACGTGAAACACAGAAGCATCACTAGGAGACCTGGTCCAGAGAAGGGTCGGCGAAACCTGTGATCGCAAGGAGGGCGGCCACATGTTAAGCAGGTTGACTGCGTATAGAAATGGCCCATGGCGAATGGCTACAGAAATGGGGTGCACCAGCGGGGACCAAGGAGGTGCGAGCTACCTCAATGACCAGGCCGATGCGTTGCTCAGCGACCCCATTCTACTGGGGGGAGTCCGGCAATATGTAAATCTAGCGGGTGCCCTTCGCACGACACCGGTCTTCTAGATGGCTAGAGGTAAACTCGCCACCACGGTCAGAGTCTAAATGACCTACAGGCAGGCGGTGCTGGGTGCGAGCGGCAAGCAGCCACAAAAGGAGAATGGTAGGCATGTCGGCCTTCCGCTCCAGCGGGAACACCGTGGTGAAACGCGAGAAGTCGTCAATGGCGACTAGGAGGTAACGCTACTGACTAAGACCATGGACCGTGGCAGGGTCCCAGACGTCCTCGTGCAGTGTCTGTAGTGGCGCCTTGGTAGGAGGAAAAGAGAAGTGAGGGGCAGCGTAGGAGCACAAGGGCACTATCGACGCAGGTAGGGCAGGGAGCGATACAGGAATACCAGTAACTAGACCGTGCTGGGATATGTGCCTAAGACGCGAGAGTGCAGGGTGACCTACCCAGTAGTGCCATAGTAGGATCGGGCGAGCGCGGGAGCGACATGAGCACGACGTGGCCAGCAGACACAGCAACCGACGGGGACTCAGTGTGAAGTGTGAAGTGATCTCACGCTGGGTCATTCTCAAATGTGGCTAGACATCTATATGTGGTTGTGTCTGTACTGGCTAAGTGAGAATGTGGTCATGATTCCTACATCCTGGATGTGACCTACACCAACTAAGTATATGGCAAACGAGGGGATGTGGAGGGCTATGAGGAAGTAAGAGGGGAGAGCAGTGGTACTACGTGCGACAACTATGGCCGGGGAGTCTGCAAGTGCGACGTGGACGGGTGCAGGAAGAGGGGCGAGAGCAGTACTATCGCGAAAGAAGCGGTGTGACACTCCAGAGTAGTGTAAAGGAGAGAGCTGACATTGCGGGGCCCAGTGAAGGATTGCTAAGAGAGTCTACGTCTGACGCAGTACGGGAGTCTACGCTTGGTGCAGCAGGGGATCCTTGACTACACACATCAGTGTATCCTAAACTAGAAACAATAGGATAATAAGAACCATCACGACGACGCAAGGTGGGCCAGGGAGGTACCTGCACGAGGGGTTCGAACTGTCAGCGGTAGAGGTCATCCAGGTGGTGGAAATAGCAGGTGATGTGACCCGCACGCCCGCGGACCTGGCTTGCTTGCGAGCCATTCAGAAACTGGTACGTGCGCGTCATCACGCCTCCAGGACCACCAACACCCTGGCTCACAGAAGAGCCAAGCGACCCCCAGGGCACCGACTGCCCTGAGGCCCAACCTCCATAGCCTCCACCATGACCACCACTCCCAGGGTCCGCCAGCCCCCACGGCAGCAGCTGCTACTGGTGCTGTGCTGTCCCCGACTCCGGTTGACCACCATCTCTGTCTGTACGCGCACCCCCTCTACCCGCCACCACCAAACCCCCACGGCCCTTGCCCCCCTTGCCCTTACCCCTTTGGCCCGAAGAGCGGCTGGGCGTAGTGGCAGCCGCGGCAGTCCCTCTCACAGTCATTGTGACGGAGGCAGGGGCACGAGAGAGAGTCACTTGGGAGGGAGCGCTACCCTGAAGGGACCGCCGGAGCGCCAGTGGAGCCAGCGATAGCGCGTAGGAGGTCCTCTATCTCAGTCAAGGAGGTGGAGAAGAGGTCAAGAGTGAGCTCTGAGGGGTGGTGGGTGAGGAGCGCATCGCGAGCAGGGGCAAGGCAGTTAGAGAGGTCGGTGAAGAGGAAGTAGAGAGTGGCGTAGAGGGGGAGTGGGGCGGCAGCCAGCTGGGTCTCCATACAGGCCACACGTTAGCGGGCCTCGAGGGAACGCAGGGGCTCGACTAGGTTAGCTAGAGTGGTGAAAGCGGTCAGGTCGGGGAAGAAGAAGGGGAGGAGGAGGTGACCAAGAGTGGCAGACGAGGGAGTGGAGTACCTAGCAAGAATGGTAGTTCAGAGGGCGCGGGCCGACGTAGCACTCACAAACTGGGATTGCGCGTCAACCGGTAGGCACCTGAGGATGGTGATACGAGTAGTGGCGTCAGGAGAAGCCCAGACCGAGTAAACGGTAAGGGCAGTAGCATGCTCATCCTGTTGCGCGGACGTCTTATCAGTAGCTCCAGAGCAGGGGTAGCAGGGAGCTTACTAGAGATGTGAGTGTCCAAGGACTCGTCGTACACGCTCTGGCTCGTCAGCTGGAAGAGTACAGTCTCCTGCCAGGCGGCGAATCTGATCGCCCGACCCTCCCCATCCAGGCGTAGAACAAGCTTGTTGGCGGTCGGCATACTCGCGACTGGCGGCTGGCGACTGGCGTTGGACGGCTAGGTGCTGATGGCTGAGGCAGTTGTGGCAGCTGCGGCGGTAGTTGCGGCGGTAGCTGCGGTTGTGATGACAGTGGAGGCTGCATTGGTGCGGCTGTGATAATAGTGGCGGCAGCAACAGCGGTAGTGGCAGCTAAAGTGGTAGGCGGGATAGTGGCGGAAGCCGCGGCAGCAGTGGCGATTGCAGTGGCGGCGGCAGCAGCAGCGGCGACAATGGCGGCAGCGTCGACAGCGGCGGCAGAGGCGGCTGCAAAGGCAGCGGGAGTAGTAGCTGCAGATGCAGCGGCGGCAGCGGGCGACACCCGGTAGCAGCGGTCGGTAGTGGGCCGCAACGGCAGTTGCTAGCCAGCGGCTGTTTGGCGGCGAGTTGGTTGACAGTGGCATTGTCGCGGCTGCTGGCTGGCTAGCGGGCTGCGAGCCAATGGCGAGCTGGCTCCAGCGGGCTAGCGGGCTGGCTGCGACGGGCTGGCAAGCCGGCGGCGTGCTGGGTGCGGCAGGCTCGCGTACCGGCGGCGAGCAGCAGGCACAGCGCGCAAGCGCCCAGCAGGCGCGGGCGACGACCAGTAGGGCGAAATAGAGGTAAAAAAGCGGGCGGGTAGGCGCAAGCTAGCGCGGGCTGGCGCTGGCTGGGTCTCTAGCTGGCGACGAGCACGTGAGCGAGCTACGGGGGGAGGAGGAGGTGGGGGGTGTGGGGGGAGGGGGGGAAGCGGCTAAGAGCAGCTAGGGACGGCACGAAGCTACTTAGTTAAGGGCGGAAGCATGGGTAGGTGGGACCTAAGCTAGCTCTAGATGTTGTGTTAGAATAGTGTAAGAAAAGTGGACTAGGAAAAGGAGAGGGGAGATACAAGTGTAAGAGTTGTCCCCTATAAGAGCTAGGTTATAACAAACCTAACCTATCTACATATATAAATATATGCTTGTTGATACCCTAAACTCGCTGAAGGGCCGCACGTTTAGGGCTTACTCAACTTCAAATGGCAAGCATGTCCTAGTGAATTTATTTTTGTTTTTGACCGTAAATTTGCCCAAGCTTCCTCTATTATCAGATGGACACGTGTTGCAAAACGATGGCATGCGAGATGAAACGAAACAATAATTTTCACGACTAGAATTTAAAACAACATAAAGTTACAATGAGGTTGCCCTAAATTAGGATGAGACCAAATGCTTGGAAAATAACCCATCCCGCAAATACTTACCCCAATGAAAACCCTAGTTAAGGTGTGTTCCCCCTAAGGTCAACCTTCCGATCAGGGGCTACTTGACACGAGACAGGCTAGTCCGCCAACATGTCAACCACATTTAGACGGCTGGCGATCAAAACGGCACGGATATCCGTTTACGCAAACTGCGCACTTCATAGTCGGGCACGTCGCGACCAATCAGGGACGACCCCATCAAATTCGCATGACGAATCCCAATTTGCAATTCCCGATTTCCGCGTGCGACGTTTCCAATCCCGATTTGATTTCATCGCCAACTTGCGACTTGTCCATCATGCGATATTAGGCGAGTCGTATGGGCGCACAGCCGAAACGACGTCTGTGGGCCGCCGTCAGTGTTTGCCGACCCTAGGTATATGACCCGAAGCCTGAACCTAGTGGGGAACCCGCCCTTACACCAGGACTCGTCTGAGGGAGTGCCACGCAATCCGAACCCGTAAACATCCAATCGCCTGCCATTTCCGCCTGCACGTTCCCCGTTATGGCACAAACCTGCTGAGCACAGCCCACTTCGTGGCTTCCAGATGGATGTCTACTACAGAACAACCGATAATCCACCGACCACCCGATCCCCTCTGTTTACAGTCACAAACCATCCGTGCCACCACTAAAAAGTCGACTGCCCGTTTTCCAACGGGTCATCCTCGAATGTCATGGAATCTAGTGACAACTTGGTGTCAATCGAAACAGACCTGGTGCCTTCCACGGGCAAATGTCGTGGATGACATGACGCGGGAATTGCCCTAAGTCCTGGTAAATGCTGCTTTTCATTTTCGCGATGATGTTTTCTTGGCTCCAAATTGTAGTAGGCAGCAGCGGATGACAGTGTTAGGCAGCTCTGTGCTCACGAGTCGCACTTTCGGCGTCCACTTCTGTGGTCGCGCGGCATGCGGTCGTGGCGGACTTCGCGTTGGTACGAGCCACGCATGCCGACATTGGGAGGCGTCCTCGCGTTGAGCCTTTTCTGCAAATCCGCCCTGGAAGGTAGCACGAACATGGTGTGATGGCGGCGGGTGAGCGTGCGGCTTTGTCTCGTGCCTCGCCACCGGAGTCGCAACCATTCCTGCCCTCGGCCTGCCGCTCTTTATCTTCGTGTGTGACCCATTTTTGGCTCGCCCCTCCTCGCGTCCTTTCCTCATGATCTTGCGGGTGTCCCGCTCTAGCACCGCTCGCAGTGCGTCCCCTGTCTTCCCCACTGCCCGCGCCTCCACCTCCGCATGCTCTTCCTCGCTCCTGCCACCCCACCCCACCCACCGCGTTTGCCTCCATCCCCCTTCCCGTTCCGGAGGCTCTGCGAAAATGCGGCTGATTGCGCGAGTGGCGTCATGTGGGGGAGCAGCAACTTGCCGGAAACCTGGCTAAAGGGTCCTCTGGTAACCCTAATGGGTTATCTGGTAACCCTGGCTCAAGGGTTCCCTGGCAACCCTTGCTCAAGGGGTGTAAAGGTTATCCTGGCTCAATGGGTTCACTGGTAACCCTTACCTTCGAGAAGACTGTTTATCAGCGGCGTAGTCCGTCAAATCGGCCACAGAAATGAAACTACCTTCAATGCAAACAAAACAGTGTCTTGGTGTGTCTGTCGTTTGCACGTTAGAGCAAATTACATGAAATGAGATATACTGCACTGCACTTTCTCATGCTAATCTCTTGGGACGGACTGAGTGTGCTCCTCCTGTCTCATACACGTTGAGAGTGGTCTCCCCCCCTCCCCCCTTCCATGCTGCAGAGAACGTGCATCCACACGTTTCCTGGCATCCACACACACGCCATCACATGCGGCTGCTGCTGCTGCTAGCGCTGCTGAGCGCCATTGGAGAGGCGTCCGCACAAATTATCTTGCCACCTCAACGTACGGCGCCTGTGAAAACGGTGACCTTGATGTGTCAGCCTCCTCATGCCGTGGCCACCTGCCATGGTGTACCACGGCAGGGGCGAGCTGTGCCGTGATGCTTGGAGGAGCAGTGGACTCTTAGAGTCTACATCTGCGGATCCGAGCATCAAAGTCACTCTTTTGCCTCTCACGCTCGTCTAGAAGGCCTGCTTCATGTGCGCACCCTGCTTTGATTGAGTCTTTGCACTCTTCAACTCGTTGCTGTGCGTGTCGCCTTCCAATTTGCACTAACACGTCCCTATCCTCCTCTTTCCCCTCTTCTACCCCCCACTCCCCTCCCTCCCCTCCCCTCCCCTCCCTTCCCCCTCCCTTCCTCCACCCCCACCCTCTCTACGTTTCTCACCCTCTCTCTCATGCATTGTTTCAACTGATGAATTCATGAATCACCATGCTACTGCGCTTACAGATGCTGTGTTGAAGGCCCTTAGGGACGAGTGGGGCTCATTCTATGGGAGTGACTCGTGGAGTTTGTATGGGGACTGCAGAGAGATAAAGGGCGTTACTTGCACCACCGATGGCTTCATTACCTCCTTGTGAGTCGACTCAAGAGTCATCTCCTTGTAACCTCTCATCCCACAGGCCCTTCGCCCTATCTCACATCCCTATTTGTTCCATGCCTGCCAGAGCGTTGTTGTAATCACGTGTACGGTTCTCTTGGGCCAGGCTGTGCACTCAGTGCCAGCCAGCAGCACTGCCCCAGGCTGCCCCAGGCTATCCCTTGACCCCGTTTATAGCCTTTTTTTAAGACCGTTCTTTCTCCGACATTAAGACAATACGCAAGTAGGGATAGCGGCAGCGAGTAAGTTTGAACGTAGAAAGATGCCATCATCACGAATAGACGGCACATAAAAAGACCTGCGAGCAACAGGCGATCAAGTTAGAGTTGAATCAAGGTCTAGCACGTAATGCTATCAGCAGCACCTGGGGTCCCTAGGAGGACGAGGACCTGTGCTAAAGCTACAGCCTACCAGTAAAGTAGCTCTGTAGACATTTACTAGGAGCTAATACGAAATTGTAGAACTAGGCTGATCCAATAATCATGGATGAGCCTAGTAGGAAGATACTCTCGAGGGGAAATGCACTCGGCAAAAGCACGAGTAGTCTTTGAGCCTTGTTACTCTGGCGTAGGCATGAGCTAAGGGCTGGGCTGCGGACGGGCGGGCCCATCGCAGCACGCCTGTGGACAGGCTCGGGCACATCCAGTCCGTTGAGGGCGATGCGACGGGCCGGGGACAGCCTTCTGGGGCCAGGAGGTCCATTGTTGGGCTGAAATGGGGCCCGCCAGCTTGCAGCGCTACTCGAAGCATTTCGCCCTTAAAATACTTCTTAGCCCATGCCGCCTCTCTCTACACGACGACACCCACCTACCCGCACGCACCTTGGCTTGGGGTTCCGCTTTGGTCGACCATGGTTCCCGAGTTCGGCTGACGGAATGCCCAATCCGCCCGAATTGACTGGCGAAACGCCAAATAAAGGTAGGCCTGGGGGCCGGCCTGGCCCACAGGGCCCCCCCAAGCCCATGGGCGGGTCTACTCCTGCCCGAGTCCTTCACACGGACGTCGGGCTGGGGTGATGCTCGCCCCGGTCCGGCCTGACCCGGCCCGGCCCGAGCCGGCCAGGGGATGGGCCAGACGCTCATGCCTACTCGGGCAAGAATACTTGCCTTGCCTCTCCTCAAGACGAGTAATTATGTGGGTGGAAACAGCCTTCCCCGAGGCGAGCAGACCAGGCAAGGTTTTACTTGCCTTGTTTGCTCATGTCCACCTCAGGCCATGCCAATGCCTCCGATTGTCCTTATTTATTGAGGTTCACATTCTCTCCCCACAACCAACCCCCCCCTCCCCCCTCCCCCACCCTGTTTTGGTGTTATTCTGTGGCATCAGGAGTGTCATTGGACAAACTCTTCTGAAGCCCATCCCTCCTGTTATTAGCGGCCTGAGCCGCCTCCAATCATTGTGAGGCTATGTTGATTAACATATGAGCTGCCATGCTATCAGCCATTCGTTCCGTTTCCCTGCCACCTATCATACTGATCAGGGTTAAAAAAAACGCCGTTAAAAAAAAAAAAATACCGTATTAAACGGTATCGAATAAAACGGCCGTTAAATACGAAAAAAACGGTGAAATTTGTGCAAAAATAGGTTGGTTAAAAAAAACGGCCGAAATATAAAAAAAAGTGCAAAACAATCCGACGAAATGCGCGGATCTGGCATTTCGCCCGCCCAAATGCACGGATCTGGCATTTTTCCCACCAAAATGTGCCAGATCTTGCGTTTTTTGTGGACGAAATGTATGGATCTGACGTTTTGTCAGCCGAAATACGCAGATCTGACATTTCGCCCGTCGAAATGCGCGGATCTCGCATTTGGGCGGACGAATGGCGCGGATCTGGCGGACGATTAGGCTGTCCAGCAAAAAGAAAAAAGAAAAAAAAGATGCTCTATTTAAAAAACGGCGTTTTTTTTCCTAAAATCCTCGAAAAAAACGGCCGAATAATACGGACCGTATTTTTCGAAAACCGTATTTTTGAACCTTGATACTGATGTTATGTATAGTCGATTTTCATCGAGTTCCTTAGGTTAGGAGCATCACCTCCACACTGACTGCTGCCATGTGCTGTGCTCATCGCTTCGGCCATGACTCTGCTTGTGACAGTGACTGTGACTGTGCCCATCCTTATCCCTGTGCTCGTGCCTGTGCACATCCATGTGTCAATTGGTGGTGTTGTCTAGTGTTTTCCTGTGCGAGTGTCTGTGCATATGCACAACCCGATTCCCATCCATCTGCCTCTGCTTGTGTTTGTGCCTGTGCCTATCCGTGTACCCATCCTGGGTGCAGAACTCTGGCTAACTGCCACTTGACGGGCTCGCTGCCATCTGCCCTCTTCACTCTGCACAGCCTCACCAAGCTGTGAGACGCTCTGTAGACAACGGAAAAGGGAGGGATCTGTGCAAGTGACGGACGAGCGTGCCAAAAGCTGGTTTTTAGTGTCTTGTTTAAAGCCGCCTTCACTTGAGTCAGTGTTTGTCCAACACAACGGGGGACATTGAAATGCAGGGTTTGAGTGATTGAGTGAAAAAAGAACGAACAAATGCACATAGGTAAAACAAACAGGTCACGGATTTTGCGCTTCGTGCATGGGTAGGGGAGAATTGAAATTGCTGGGAAAGGGGAATCTAAAGCCCGAGTCCCAAATTGTGTGCCGCGTGGTTCAAGCTTTAGAAACTTGAAATCTGACGATTTTCAGGCGTTTTTTTTTACGAAGCTGGGGTTACGCATATCGTGAAAGCACCTGATTGGCCGGAAACTTGACTGGGGGGTTTGCGTGGGTTGGCCTAAGTTGGAATATACGCGTATCGCGTTTTGTACGAGAGCGTTTATACGAGAGCGTTTATACGAGAGCGTTTATACGCGATACGCCAGGATGGAGGGAGTCGGAAACGCATGGAATACGGTGGTCCGGGCAGGGGATTTTTTTTTTTTTTTCGGGCAGGCAAAATTCGGGGTTAAGAGGTGGGGAAGGGGGGGGTGCAAAGCATCCCGAACCCACTTCCCTTTTTATTAATGGGCAAATTTCATACAGAAATTTCTAACAAGCCTGAAGTCCCTGCAGCCCCTACACAATCCCCCTCACCAACCACCATACCAATCCCTCTTCTCAAGGAAGGAATGGAACTGAGAAACTGAATGAAATGTGGCAGTAATTTATGCTTGGGAAGCTGGCTCTGTTTGATGCCAACCCCTCTCAAGGATGAGTTGGGAGCAGGGTTCAAAATTACGGCGTTTTTTTTTATTTTTAGCCCGTATTTTACGGTTTCGTAATTTACCGCCGTATAATACGAATATTACGGCTCGAAATCACCTTTTTTGAGTTGGTTAAAAAAAACGGCCGTTTTTTACGGCCGTTTTTTAAAATCTGTGGTGTACATTCAGAATCTCGAATTCCGTACCAGAATTTTGGGGATGGGGGTACACGCGCACCCCCAAATGTTCATATGTCAACGTTTTCCCGAAGCGCGAACTCACCCGAACCCCGAGTCACGCATTTTACCAATTTTTTCTTGTGCCGTTATGAAAGAACCCCCCCCTTCGCGAAACCCGTTGGTTATTTCGCGCCCAGTAGGGTGGTCTCGCACAATTTGCGAAACCACCCTGTCGAAGCGTGTTTCTAAAACAGAACCCAATGGATGTTGGTTCTCTTCGAAGCCTTTCTCAACCCAACTTCGAACTGTGTGAGATACAAATACAGAGGACGTTTTCTAAGCTACCACAGGATGTAGTTTGGAGCGTTTTTCTGGCTGGAATCTAAGCCAGTTTACTCTACCGCCTAGCAACTCCAGATTTGCATGTTTGTAGGTGCCATGGTGAATTACTAAGCATTCAGTTGACGTTGAAACCGCATAGGAGCCATTCCCCTTCGGAAAAAAAAAAAACCATGTGCTCTATTTAAATTATGCCGTTTTTTTCCCAAACTGCCCGAAAAAAACGGTCGTAATTTACGGACCGTATTTTTCGAAAACCGTAATTTTGAACCTTGGTTGGGAGGGGTTGAGAAGTGACGGGGTGGTGAGGGGTGGGAATGGGTCAAAGGGGGGGTTTTGGTGCGCTTCGGGTTGGAAATTCAAAACTCAAATTTGAGTTCGCGATGTGCGAAGGTGAAATTTTGGTTCGCAATGTCGCAAAGCGTCGGCGAATTTTGGGTTTTTTTTCGGGCAGCCCGAGCGTATTTTGGCGTATCTACACCAAAAACGCAGCGTTCGTATTTCTTATGCGTTTAAACGCAATACTCAATCTAAGCTGGGCGCTTTTTCCAACTTAGGGGTTGGCTTACGGGAACTTGAAAGGGGGGTCATTGCAATTTGGGAGTTTTGCATCCCAATCCAACCAGTGCCCCTGAGAACCGCTGACTCAACGAAACGTGGTTCACTCACGACAGTTTCGCCGAAATCAATCGCGTCGTCACCCCCTAAATATTTAACAGAAGTGCGTCATGTTTCTAAAGCATGAACGATTTGGGCCGCAGGGCTTTAAGTTGAGGGTCAGGGGGAGTCGAAATTGGGGGGAGAGGGAATCTGAATTGAGGGAAGGGGGAAATCGAACTCGAGGGGAGGGGGAATCGAAATTGAAGGGAGGGGAGGGGGTTGAAACAGGCGTGGGGGCAGAAAGTGCTGCTGGGAGGGGCGCTCAGAAATCAGTATATTAATGCAGTGGACCTTTCCAAGTATTAGGAACTTGTGGCGAGACAGGAGGAACCTTGGCTCAACCTGCCGAGTAACCTGTTTTCAAATTTAACATTTGGAAAATCGAGCCCAAATGTATTCTCCGGCTTGAAGTGGTTCAGAAGCAAGGCGCCTAGGAGCAACAAGCAGTTGAATTGCAAGTTCTAAGTTGGCAGCACAGAAGGCTTCCTTACTGCATTTGTGCATTTCACTTCACACTCGGTATAATCAGTGTTGTCTAAAGCATCTTATATTTGGTTCCTGTTTCTCACATACACCCTTTAGCCTGTATTGCTTTGAAGTGTGCTTGTTGAAGCATGCTCATTGTTTTTAAACATCTGTGCGCTCATGCTCCAGGGACCTTGACTACAATGACCTCTCTGGTTCTATCTCTGCTAGCATCAGCAACTTGACAAACCTTAAATACCTGTGAGGAGGCATCAGACTGTCACAGGTGACATATGTTGCGGGGTTTGATTCACGCGTAAGTGTTCAAAGCGATCATGTCTCATGAAAAGCCCTGTCAAATCCCATGGCATACTGGCTTGGCTTTGCACACTGACTTAATTCTTTCTTGGCTTGGCACTTGGCCTGGCACGCTGGCATGGCTTACTGGCTTCGCATACTGGCGTGGCATAGTGGCTTGGCATACGGGCTTGTCATACTGGCTTGGCATACTGGCGTGGCATACTGGCTTGGCATACTGGCTTGGCATACTGGCTTGGCATACTGGCTTGGCATACTGGCTAGGCATACTGGCGTGGCATAGTGGCTTGGCCTACTGGCTTGGCATACTGGCTTGGCATTCTGGCTTGTAGACATGGGCACACTCCGCCAAGGAGAGCCGGCTTCGAGCCGGGCTTCAGTCGAGCCGAGCCGAGCTGAGCCGAGCCAGCTTCGGCTCGCTTCAGCTGAAGGCCGGCTCGGCCAGGTGAAGCCGGCTGCGAGCCGAAGCCGAGCCGTAAAACGAGCCGGCTCGGCTCGGCTCGCCTAGAATGCATCGTGAATCAAACAGACATTGATTACACCCAAGGAGTTAGTGTACATACGTGTCATTGCTAATTTTTTTCACTGTTTCATTTCACTTGTGCCAATCTGGTCGCACCAGCTTGGGTGGTGTGAGGGGTCCTTGTGGGTAGGCTTGAGCATGAACCCGACCCGACCCGACCCGACCCGACTTTGCCCTACCCGATGTCGGGTTCGGGTCGGGTCGGGTCGGGTCAAGTCGGGTCGGAGTTCAGGAAATGTCAACCCGACCAGGGTTTAATAGGTCGGGTTCTAACGGACCCGATTTCGGGTCGGGTCGGGTCAGGTTGGCGCAGGGGCTGGGACGGGTAATAAGCCGACCCTACGGGTCGGGTTTTGCCGGTCGGGTCAGGTCGGGTACCCGAGGGTCGGGTCGACCCTCCGCAAATGTCGACCCGACCTGTCAAAAAGTCGGGTTCGGGTTGGGTAACCCGACCCGACCCGAACCGTTGCTCAAGCCTACTTGTGGGGAGGCACTACGGATGCGTGCGTGCACTAATTCACGGCGTATTACCTACTTTCTTGCGCATCCTTGGGTGCCTGCACAGCCACATTAGTACCTAAACAAGCTTGCAGTGGTCCACTCTGAGATAACGGCTGACACATAGTGCCAGCAACCTTGGTTGGTGTGCCAGCAGCCTTGGTTGGTGTGCCAGCAACCTTGGTTGGTGTGCCAGCAACCTTGGTTGGTGTGCCAGCAACCTTGGTTGGTGTGCCAGCAACCTTGGATGGTGTACCAGCAACCTTGGTTGGTGTGCCAGCAACCTTGGTTGGTGTGCCAGCAACCTTGGTTGGTGTGCCAGCAACGTTGGTTGGTGTGCCAGCAACCTTGGTTGGTGTGCCAGCAACCTTGGATGGCGTGCCAGTGCCAGCAACCTTGGTTGGTGTGCCAGCAACCTTGGATGGTGTGCCAGCAACCTTGGATGGTGTGCCAGCAACCTTGGCGTGTTCATAGCTTGAACCCATTGCCCACATCTCTTTGTGCTTTGTGGCCGTCTTTGTTGCTGCAGCTCAATGCAGGGGAATAGTCTGGAGGGATCTGTGCCTGTCGAGATGTCATGCTTGAAGAAACTCAATCTCCTGTAAGTGGTTGCTGCTGCTCCTGCCTCATTGGAATGGCGACAATTGCTTGCTGCAATGCTTGTCATCCAGCTTTCTCATTTACGCCCTCCTCCTTGAAGAATCCTGGAAGGGAAACTTGTACTTTGCTAAAAGGCACGTGGGTGGATGCATCATGCATGCATACATAGTCGTGGAGAGGTGGCTCACATTAGGGCCAGCCAAGCATGGATTGGATCCAAATGTTGATGCTGAGTTTGACCATCTTACTTGGGAGCCAGGTACAAAACTACGGCCCTTTTTTTCATTTTGAGATCGTATGGCACGGTACCTTTCGCTACGGCCGTTTGATTCGGAAGAAAACGACAGTCATATTGTGGTTATTTTTGGTGCAAAAAAAGGGCTGTATTTTACGACCAATTTTTTAATTCCATCGTGTACATGTTACATTCTCTCGATTTCGTAACGCATTTCGACGGTTGAGTATTCACCCAACCGTCGGCAAATTTCTGGTCAATGTTTTCCCAAGGTGCAACAGCTACACACAACCGAGCCGCGCATTTTAGGGGTTTTGCGAAGCTCGTTGCGAAACTGTTGTTCGTTTCGCAACGGGTCTGACAGACATTTCATGCCCAGTAGCGTGTGTCGCGCATTTTGCGGCGCACGCTACCGAGGCACACTTCAATTTCGAAATCTCTCCCCTACCCACCCGATCTTGCCTTCAAGTCTTCACCCAATCAGATGACGGGGATACTTAGGAGGAGGCCGTGTTAGGTCGAGATACTTAGCCCTGCTATGCTATGGTAATGCTTCTGTAAGGTTTGAAAAGAATTGGAATAAAAAACTAGTACTCGCCTGCAATTGTTTTCGGGCAGGCTGAAACTTTTTAGCAGACCGTAAACGTAAAGCTTTTTTGGGCCGGTGTACGTAGACGTAACTCTACTACGTAAACTACCGTAAACGTAAACCAACGTGAGCGTAAGGTGCCAACTTAGGGTTGAATTGAAGATGTCCCCACAAAGCTGGGAAGCAGCGATCTTGAGGGTGCTTTACTCCAGTTTACACCCGAAACTTGAGAAACCATGAAGCTAGCATTTTGTTTCCCACATAGCCACTCGAGGGCCACAACGTGTGTCTGACCATCTGTGCCTCTCCATGCAGGAGACTGAGCCACAACGCCCTTTCGGGCCCTCTTTCCCACTTCCTTTCCTCACTCACCAACCTTTCCATCTTGTGAGCGCCACCACTGTCTTATACCGTGTTTTGAAACGCATTGCACGTTTTCTTGCACAGCTTCCTGAGGCCTATTTTGGCTAACACAACACATACATATCATACTGAGCACTTGATTCTTTCCTCATTATTCATACCCATACCTCCTCTCTTCTTGCCATTTTCTGCATCCCCTTTCTGCCTGCCTTTCAAGGGCTGTGGATTCTAACAGTTTCAGTGGAAAACTGCCTGACTTTCTCCCCCAGCTGCAAGGGCTGACATACCTGTAAGCACTGCCGTGGCTCACAGCAAGGCCCACACGACCTCCTGCACTCACACCTGCTCTGCTTGTGCCTCCGTGTGAGTTTCATGGAGTTAATCTAAGTCTTCCCTCTTCATCGCAAGACTACTGTCATTGATTGTCGGTCCCTAAAGAAGGGCCAAGTGTTCTCGCTTAATGCTCGTGTTTTGTGAAGCAGAAGCACTGAGTCGATGCATGCGTTTGCATGCACACCGATCTTCCAAGAGGCTGGCTTCGTTTGCCTTGTGATGTGTGCATTGTACGGCCTTAGTTACACCATGAGTGCATGGTTTTGACGGGTGTGGTGGCTCTCCCCACTGCAGGCACCTGGAGTACAACCGGCTTGAAGGCAGCCTCCCATCGTCCATTGGAGCCCTCACTCAGCTGCAGGAATTGTGAGTCTCCCGGTCTCCCTGAGTCACCTGACAATGAGCGCTCTGCCAACCCCCCCCCCCCCCCTGTGAGCCTGAGCCTCATCTAAGCATCGTGCTGTGCTGTCTGGTCGGATGTTTCTGCCTCGTGCGCAGCGAGCTTTAGCACCACACTGCCTTCTCTCGCCCTTGCTCGCAGGATGCTGGGCGGGAATGACTTCTCGGGAACCATGCCATCGGCACTGGCCAGCTTGAAGAACCTTCAAGTCCTGTGAGCCATCTTGATGCTCTTGACTCGTTTGATCTCTCTGGTCTTTGTTGCGGCTTGCTTGCTGAAGTTGCTCACTGTACGTTGACTGATTCCACCACCATATCATAAGCCCTTAGCTATCTCGATGCCCTTTACTCGTTTGATCTCTCTAGTCTGAGTTGCGTGCCGAGTCAACTCACTGTACATTGACCCCATCATCATGACTTGGTTGAACCCTTAGGGGGTACTTTTGTTTTCCGGCAGTGCTCATATCATCCGGAACATCCTCTTCCGATGCCCGCAGTTCGCTTCGCGACCTTCGCCTCCATGGCCTTGTGCCTCTCGCTCTCAGCTCCCTTGAGAAGCTGCAATACCTGTAAGCGGTGCCGTGCCACTAGATTCATAGAGATGGCATGTTAGCATGATTCACAACTTGCATCCACTCCAGGCATGCCGTTGCTGGTTGAATGGCACGGAGTATGTGTGGCTGCCTCTGCCGAGCACTCAGATTCTCCAGATTCTGGGACCACAACGACTTCCCTCTGTGACTGTACTCAACCTGGAGCAGTGTGCGGAGGATTATGACACCATGCATCCAATTGCCCGTCTCAAGGGTAACCAGTTGTACACACTTGCACGTGTGTGGCAGGGAGCTCTCTTCCACGTCTCTATCAGGGCCCTTGGCTCCTATTGTGGCTCCCATGACAAGCCTCAAGGAGCTGTAAGCAGGGAGAAGTGTGGCTTATGGACTCACCTCACCATTCCTACTTATGTTCGAGAATGCACATTCCACATCCTCTGCACCTTTTCATGAGATTGTCACCCTTCACATTCCACATCCTCTCTGTACTTCTTTTCCCTTACCATCCCTGCTGACTAGTTCCGTTCAATGGTCCCTATCATATCCCCGACCTCAGCGTGGCGAGCTACAACCAGTTCACGGGAGATGTGCCCATCCCAGCGTCCAAGGCCCTGGCACTTGTGGACGTCCAGGGCAACTTCTTCTACTCCGCCCCCATCCGCCCTAAGAACTGCTCCGCTGTCAGCCTCTTGCTGTTTGACAACTGCCTGCCAACTGCCCTGTGCGGAGTGAACCACGAGCAGAGAAGCAACGCGAGCTGTGCAGCATTCTGTGGGGTGGGGCAGGGCGGGGCGCTGTGCAGTGGTCATGGGTACTGCTTCATGAACGACAGCAGCAGCACGGGCGAGTGTGTGTGCGAGGCACACCACTCCACTCGCAATGGCCCGCACATGTGCACATACACGAGTAAGCAGAGCACGACCGCACTTGGATCAGTTGCTCCTCGGTTGACCCATGCATGCACATTCTCCTCAATGCAGCTCCATGCCCTCACTCGTTGTTCTCTTTCGCTAATCCATGCATGTCCATCGTCTCTTGCTCCCCTCCAGTTGACCCCGTGACTGCCTCCTCTGCCACCTCGCCCATGGCTCTGAGTGGCTCTGTGCTGCGCTCTACTGACGGTGCCCTGCTGCTGACCCCCAGGGCCAATGGCAACTGGGGCACAGCCTTCACAGCCGCGCCTCTCCCTCTCTTCTCCTACTTCAACACCAAGGCCACATGTGGTTACCAGTTCGCCTTCAACGCCTCCTTTGCCTTCTCCCTCGACCCCGACTCAGAGGCCGGCGGGGATGGGCTCGTGTTTGTCGTCGCAGCCGCGCTGCCAGACAGGCTGGGACGGGTGGGGCGGCGGAGTGTGGGAGTGGAGTTTGACTCGGTGCAGAGTGTGAAGCACAGCGACCCCAGCGACAACCACGTGGGCGTCAATGTGGGCGGCTCACCTGTGTCCCTCGCCTCTGCCACGGCCCCTCTCATCCTCAACGACGCCCAAACCAAGCACGCCTGGATCCACTATGACCCCACCAGCGGCGGCACTCTCCGAGTCTTCCTCTCCTCCGACCCCGTGCAGCCCCTCACCCCCACACTCCGCGCTCGAGTGTCCCTCTGCTCCATCCTGCAGCCCAAGGCGTCCTCTGCTGCATTCCACGTGGGCTTCACAGCTTCGTCCACGGCTGGTCCACAAGCACACTCCGTTCTCAACTGGACATTCACGGCGGGTATGTGTCTCTGAAGCCTGGGACCCTAGATTATGGTGGGACTTCACTGTGGTCTTGGTTTGCTCTGGCATATGTTTGCTGGTTTCAGCGAAGCATTTGATCTTGTTTATTAACACTTACCTTGTCTTCATCGGAAAATGACGGGCATTGTGTGCACAACGACATCACGACCTGTAACCTAGGGAGCAACCAAGTGTGCAGCAACAATCTTGGCTTGAGCCTGAGTTGGACTAATTTCGCACCTACAGGAATTATCTGCTGGGAAAATGTGTAACTGCTCAGAACATCAACAATCTCATTCCCTATCCAACCCTTGGTATTTTGGGAATGGTAAAGTTGGCACTTGTTGTTTTCGTTCCTGATTCGCACATCACAGTTATGTAACGAAAAAGGTTGTCAGGGTAACTGCCTGCTCCCACTTCCGCATCTCTCACTGCTTGGTGGTTGGCTGCTGTGTGTGCAGATGTCCCACTCAACCTGCGCTTTGACCCATCGAGTGAGTATGCTTGGCAATCACCTTCTTACATCCTTTCAGTCTCGTGCTTTTGTACCTGACTCGTGGTTTTGAACCTCACCAACAGATTTAGCCCTCGGTTGTTTGTTTTGGCTTGTGGGTCTGTTGTGCACACTTTGTCTTCTGTCCCACTGTTACACAGACCTGGTGCTGGGATTTGTGTTGGATGAGGACTCCTCATCAAGTACCCCTTGTTTTCCTTAACCCTTCTGTACCAACAGACCTCGCCCTGGGGTTTGTGTTGGACGAGGATTCCTTCTCATCTCAGGGATTCAACTCCGCCTTCCACTACGCCAGTGCGGGATTCGAGTCAGCGCAAGACAACAGCCCCTCGTGGCTTCTCATGTCCTTCAACTCCTGGGTCTTGCCTGAACCTGTCTGGCCTGTCAAGAACCAACAGGGCTGCGGTAAGTCGCACGGGGAAACCACAGCGGTTGAGGTGCATGATCTGGCAATATACGACACGCCGTGAAAGTGTTAGGATGTGAGAAGCAGCATAGGTTCCTGCCAATTAAAGCCGCGGTACGCATTCCCTGAAATCTTTTCAAATTTTACACATTTCAGGCAGGATTACAGCATAACTTTGCCTTGAGAGATTTTGCTCTCGCCTACGTAGGAGAACATTTGTGTACTGCACATCTCTCGAGGCCCCTGTGTATCCCCGCAATGTTTACAGCGTCATCCCCCCTTTTCACAGCGTCATCCCCCCCCCTTTCCCCCCCCCCCCCCCCCAACACCCCTTCCCCCCCTCGTGTCTTTTCCTCTTCCCGCTATTCTCCCCTGCAATTTCGTTTCCCCCGTCAAAAATCGCATCCCCCCCTCCCCTGCCGAATTGTGGCCAAATCTGTACAGTTCCTGCGCGCCCCTCCCGCCGTTTCGTTCCCCCTAGACAATTGTTTACAAAATTGCTGAATGTGACGAAATGCAAGTTGCGACGAACCGGGAAAAAAACAATTCGCGCTGGTCCAGCCTCTCGTCAAGCTCGCTAACCAATCTGCGCGGCCCTACCCTGTTTGCCACTGTTCATTCTGTGCAATTTCAGGGGATGTGTACGGCGCCTATAAGAAAACCTGCCAGACATCTCATTTCGGCTAGCTGTAACATTGAACATGTAACTATCAGTACAGGTCTTTATGTCCGCCCAAGGCACTGTATCCGCCACCTCTGACCATGAGAGAGTGCTCAACTATATCTCATTCTCCCCCTTTCCTGCGACACAGGTGACTGCTGGGCGTACGCAGTGGTGGCAGCGGTGGAGGCAGCCTACAGCATTGCCAGCAACTGGTCGCAGCCCCCCGTGCTGTCGGTGGACCATCTGCGCCTCGCCCTCTCCTCCAACTGCGACGGTGGCTCCCCCACCAAGGCGCTGCAGTTCCTCCTCAACGCCACAACCCAGGGCAGGGGGCTGCTGGAGCAGGCGGTGTACTCCCAAGCGCTGGCGCTCAAGGGCGGGTCGCCGGTCAGTGCGCTGCTGTTGCTGTGCTCCTGGTGGTTTGCTGCTGGTGGTGTGCTTCTGGTGGCGCACTGCTGGTGGTGTCTGCTGTTGGTGTTCTGCTGTTGGTGTTCTGCTGTTGGTGTTCTGCTGTTGGTGTTCTGCTGTTGGTGTTCTGCTGTTGGTGTTCTGCTGTTGGTGTTCTGCTGTTGGTGTTCTGCTGTTGGTGTTCTGCTGTTGGTGTTCTGCTGTTGGTGTTCTGCTGTTGGTGTTCTGCTGTTGGTGTTCTGCTGTTGGTGTTCTGCTGTTGGTGTTCTGCTGTTGGTGTTCTGCTGTTGGTGTTCTGCTGTTGGTGTTCTGCTGTTGGTGTTCTGCTGTTGGTGTTCTGCTGTTGGTGTTCTGCTTTTGGTGTTCTGCTTTTGGTGTTCTGTTGTTGGTGTTCTGCTGTTGGTGTTCTGCTGTTGGTGTTCTGCTGTTGGTGTTCTGCTGTTGGTGTTCTGCTGTTGGTGTTCTGCTGTTGGTGTTCTGCTGTTGGTGTTCTGCTGTTGGTGTTCTGCTGTTGGTGTTCTGCTGTTGGTGTTCTGCTGTTGGTGTTCTGCTGTTGGTGTTCTGCTGTTGGTGTTCTGCTTTTGGTGTTCTGCTTTTGGTGTTCTGTTGTTGGTGTTCTGCTGTTGGTGTTCTGCTGTTGGTGTTCTGCTGTTGGTGTTCTGCTGTTGGTGTTCTGCTGTTGGTGTTCTGCTGTTGGTGTTCTGCTGGTGGTGTTCTGCTGTTGGTGTTCTGCTGTTGGTGTTCTGCTGTTGGTGTTCTGCTGTTGGTGCACTGCTGGTGGTGTGCAGTGGCATCTCTCTATTTCCCACCTCTCTCTTACTTGCCGGCAGGTCAGCACGAGGTACTATGGCATCCGGGGCATCGAGCGCACGGCCTTCTATGGGTGGTTTGGGCTCATGCTGGCAGTGCAGCGCCAGCCAGTCATTGTGCACATCGAGGCCTCCGCACCCTCCTTCCAAGACTACGATGGGGTAAGGCACCCTTCTTCCAAGACTATGATGGGGTGAGCCGCTACCTTGCATGTTGTGTATGCCATTCTATACTGAGCTGCGCACTCTCCGCTCACCATGTGTGCTGGTTGTTGTGTGAGTGGGGGAGCAGCTGTGCTACCTCCGGTCGGTCACCATGTGTGCTGGTTGCTCTGTGTGTGCATGGGGGCAGAGAGGCAAGTACGCTGACGAGGCGTGTTTCAGCGGGCATCTGAACCACGTGGTGCTGGTGGTGGGCTTTCTCTCCACGGGCTTCGACCCTTACTCCGCCATGCCGCCGCCCTTCTGGATCATCCGCAACTCATGGGGCACACAGTGGGGCGACCAGGGCCACATGCGAATGGACATTCGCAGTGGAGATGGTCTCTGTGGCATCAACACTCTCCCGGGGCTCTTCCCTGTCGTCAGAAGTGAGACCCATGACTCGCCCTGTGCTCACAAAAGACCCTCTTCAGGGTGATGTCAGGGGTGCTTCTCGAATGCTGGCTCGTCCATTCGCCATAAGCCATGTGCCATGGCCCACTCACCATGGCCTAAGCCCTATATACATGGCCTATATCCATGTATTCAAAACGCCCCATGCCCCATAGTCCATGCATAGAGTGCCATATGGTGTATGCCATGCCCCCGTAGACCATTCGTCATCTTGTTACATATCCCATGCCCTCGACCCATACTCATCTGAGATGGACGTGTGGGCTTGGTCCTCTCCACAACCGCCCCACTCTGTGTACGTGTTGAGCAGCCAGCGCCGATTCGTGTGGGTCGCGCTCCTTCAAGTTCACTGTCCTGGGCGCCACCTTCAACCCGTGTGGCCAGTTCAACTGCAGCAAGAAAGGCACCAGCAACCGTTGCAAGTGCTCTGATGCCCGCTTTGTGCAAGTCAAGAACACCGATGGATCATACACCTGTGCTTATGGTAATGTGCACCCTTGTGTTTTTATGCACCTGTGCTAATGTTTGTGTGAAGTGCAGCTATACACGGTGCTTTTTCCTTGAATTGGTCTCTTCATTTTAAGCCAAGAGGTCCAGCTGTGGTATTGAACACCTGTGCCCATGGTAGCACATGATAGATTTCGCTCTGTGCGATTTGCCAAGTGATTATAGATCTTGTCCTGATTCAGACTCACTCATCGTTACCAAAATATTATCTCTTTCCTGCCTTCAGTGGAGATTGTTGAAGCTGCATCCATCCCTATGCTCATCCCCACGCCCATCCTCAATGTCCTCAATATAGAATCCTTAATGCTTTCTCACACGCCTTACTGACCCCGTGCTCATGCCATTGGCCTTTACCACTGCCATGCGTTCCCCATGCCCATCTGTATCTCCGTGTCCCCTAGTGGACGTGTGTGGGTCCAGCAGTCGCAACCCGTGTGTGGTGGGCACGTGTGTTAACGATGGCAGGGGCAGCTACTCCTGTGTATGTCCCCCGGGGTTCGCCCAGGGCACCACTCTCGCCAACTCAGCCTCCTGTGCCCCGGGTAACACCAGCCTTCTCGTAGCAACTCAAACTCCTGTGTTCCAAATGCCAACTTTCTCCTCTGATGCTCCCCTGTGCTTCTGCTCCGTCCGACTCGCTGCTCCTTGAGCTTAATCAAGCACCATTTGCAAATCACACTCACTCCTCTAGCCTATCCACAATGGACATCTCCTCACACTTCAACTCCAACAATGATTTGCACCCAGCATGCTGCTGATCTAAAAGTGCTGATGCTTAAACTTGAAGCACTCATTGGCGTGCCGAGTTCTGGAAAGGCCCGGTTGTGGAAAGGGTTGGTCGTGGTGCTGATGTGTTTCTTCGTGAGTGGTGGTGCAGGTGATGCAGGGGGGGTGTACACGGTGCAGCAGAGCAACGTGTGGTGCTCCGATGTGCATCCCATATTCGCCCTCACACTGGACCAGTTTAAGCAGCAGAACAAGGTACCCACGGCCTAATCTGGGTGCTTGGGATTTGAAGCACTGTATGTGTGTTTTGGATTGCCCATGGTCGTTCTTGCCATACTTGTATTCATCCAGTGTCTTAGGCTTCTGGAGAACAACCTCTGCCCGGCAACCAAGAGACTGTGCATTGCACTCATCCCCTGCATCTTATTCTGTTGTAAGTGCCCTGAGCTTGTGGTGGTATTGTTTCTCAAGCAGCTCCCTCCGTCTGCATGTGCCACAGGGCGTCTCATGCTCCACGCCTCTGCGCCTCAACTCAAGGCTGCTAGTCAACTCTACTGTCGACCCGTGCTCTGTCTTCTACACCACTGTTCTGGTGAGGGGCTCATAGTTTTGAGCTGCTTCAATGTGCAAACCAATTCAACGAGCCTCCAGCCAACAGTCTCTTATCACCCTAGAGCAACAGCTACAGCATATGTTCTTGCCTGTGGGTGGTCGTGCAAGTAACCCCGTCCCCAGGGATGCTCCCTCTTCTGTTCATCCTCCATCTTAAGGTGCAAGAACCCTCCTCTCCATCCAATCCTTCCCCTTCGCTCTCAACCATTTCCACCCGCTCCCCCGCCTCCCTCTCCCGTTCCCCTCCAGGGCGACACGTGTGCGGGGGTGGGGCGGCAGGTGGAGCTGTGTGGGGAGGCGGCCTCGGATGCGGCGTGTGAGGCGGCATTTCAGGCGCTCAACCCCGCTGTGGACTGCTGGTCTCTGAAGCCCTCTCAGGCGGTGTGCGTGGAGAGAGACCCCTCCAAGGCCAACCTGACTGTGGTGTGCGACCAGTACTACCGCGCGCGCCTCAATGACACGTGCCACAGCATCGCACAGCTGGCAGAGCCCCCTCTCAGCCCGGTGGACTTCTACCGCCTCAACCCCGGCGTCAACTGCAACCAGCTCATCCCCGTGAAGAACTACTCTCGCCCCGCCACCACCTTCGGTGCTGAGGTGCGTCAGTTTGGTGCATTAACGTGCTGACACAATGCCATGCTGCACACGCTGCTCGAAATGCAATGCCCGTTGGTGGGCGCCAGCCTACTGACTGCCTAGCTGTCTACATTCACCTCCACTTGCCTGCAGGTGTGCATTGGCAGCGCCACCAACTTCTCAGCTGGCATCTGTTCAAGGACCAGCACCTACACCATCTCGCCAGGGGATGATTGCAAGTACATCCACCTCAAGTACTTCTACAGCATTAAGGGTTGTTACAGGAGGTTGAATGGGTATGAGTGTGTGGACAAGTTGAAACCTGGTGCCAAAATCTGCACACCTAGTCCAAAAAGGGCTCGAACAGGAACATGCAGCATTTGATGGAATCCACATACCACCAGTCTCAAAAATATGGTACGGACAGACCCCTGTTTAGAGCGTATTTCTACTTTTGAGTGTTAATCCCCAATTCTTTGCACCGTCGGCCAGAAGCAACATTTAAAGTGGTATCTGACATGAGCTATATCACCTTTGTAGGTGGACGGTAAATGCAGGTTTGGATCCGGGGACCAAGCTTGCTGTTTTTAAGCCATTGGGCATGGAGAAATGAGCAGCACATAGCCTGTGCACCTTCAGACGCGTGGAGAGCAGGCGGAAGGCGTCTTCCGAGGCCGGATGGTGGTAGGTCTAGTGTCGGGTTGATGTGGATGTGGATAGAGATTGTAGAAGGATGCCGCACAAAAGAGTGCATACCGCACGAAAGAGTGCATGCTGCACGAAAGAGGTCATGCCGCCAGTCCCTATTTTTCACGAGTAAATTACTCTGATTCTCTGATTTTCAGAGTTGATTTTACGTACCACCCTTATGCCTGTGGGTAATTTTTTTCAGATAATACGTTTTCTCTGATTAGCCAGAGTTTTCTTTTGTACCACCCTGTTGGTTTCTGTACAGGGGGGATACCTCCAGATTTTTCTTGTACCCCCCTGTCTACATACGTGGACCCGAATCCATGCCGAGTATGACGGACTGAAACCGAAGCTAATTGGGCTGTTGTATAAGGGCGCTGATTGGCCCTTAGCCAAAATCAGCTCTCGATGCATGCTGCTGGAGCGTGTGTGAGGGTGAAATTTGGTCCTTCAACTGAAATCACCGTCCAATGTGTACAATCTGACTAAGGGCCTAAAAGCGCCCTCACAACGCAAAGTGTGTTGGATGCTGTGTGAGGGCCCCAATTGGCCCTTAGCCAGATTCACCACGTGATGTATGGCGCAGTTTGTATGAGGGCGCCGATTGGTCCAAACTCCACGAGATGTGTGCTCTTGCGTGGTGGCTGCGCGTGGATTGTGGCCCTCAGATTTCAGGTTTTTTTTTTTTTGCTGATTTTGCTGATTTCCAGGGTGTTTTGCTGTACCTACCCTGAAAAATCAGCGTTGGAATCTGGAAAACCGGGGTTTAGTTAAAAAAAGCAGTACCAACCCTGATTTTGAGGATGTTTTCAAGGTGCCTTTGTGTACCGACCCTGAAAATTCAGTGTGGCCTAAAACGAATCTGAGGGCCTGGGGTGTGGGGAAGAGGGGTTTTTTTGTGGATGGCACTGGTTGCCCCCCGCCAACCAGCGTGTGCAAACTTGATAGGCACTCCCCGCGCCTTTCAATTTCGTTTCCGAACCATTCCCCAGTTCTCCCCGGTTGCGCAATTGTGATGCACCACCAATCAATCCCTTCGTGCCCTGCACCCTTCTTTCACACGGCACATGCTGGCCCTAGCTTTATCAAAATGGCGTGTGATCACGTATGAATTAGGCAATTAGACACGTGACATGACCCATGCATTTGCGGGCGTCTACAAGAGAACATACTTGACAGAGTAAATTTTTTAGAAATACTGGGTTACTCTGACCATTCAAGGAAAATGTTAGAGGTCACTCTGATTTTCCGAGTTCCGATAAAAATCACTGCCAGAATTCAGAGTAGCGAAAATCCAAAGATCAGCACTGCATGCCGCACGAATTGGTGCAGAGGAGGTGCACGAAGACATAGCGCGAGTGGTCATCAACAAGGGTGAAGAAGTACTGCAGATTATCAATTGACACTACAGGAGCAGGGCCCACATGTCCATATCCACAAGATCCAAAGGCAAATTGGGGAGGAAGGGTGTGGCTGGGGGCGGAGTTTGTTTGTGGTGCAGTCTAGGCACTACCTGTTGGACCTCGTGTTGAACTGATAGGTTCTGACACAGACACACACGTCTGTCACCGAGCTAGATGAAAAGGCAGAGCAGGGGACAATGGACGATCGATCATTTGGCATGTATGCTGAACTTGGAGACTACTAACATGAGAGGTATTGGACCCTTGTATGGTTGGAAGGAGTGTTCGTCTTTGAGGACAGCATGTGTACGACTCTCAAGGGTGAATTCAATTGTGTTTGATATGCTTGATTAGTGAAGCCCTTCGAATTCGTCTCATTCATCATGGCTATGCCAAAGAACAACATGACAGTACAGAAGCCTAAGAGGGCTCCCAACTTTGTTGACCCTGCAATGCCAGATGGTCAACTAGCTGGGTGGCTTCAAGGTGATCCCATTGACGGCATGCCACTGGTCTACTTGAAGTAGCTGGTGAGTGAGTGGCTTGTCCTGAAGGACGGCCTGCTTGACGGAGCAAAAGGATATGGGGGAAGCGGTTGCGCTGGAATGGAGCTTGGGCCAAAGGCATGGGTGCATGAAATGCATTGGATATAGCTTGGGTGCAACTGCCCTTTTCACTATAAAGGAGTGCAGAGGAGACCTCAGGATGTGTGAGGTCTGCAAGAGGAAGAGCCGGGAGCATCTCTTGTGTAACTTCAAAGGCATTGGCGGACGAGTACTTGTGGAATCAATTCCTGTTGAGAGGCGCACTTGAAGACACTGATGTGCCATTGACCAACTCTCATTCTTGTATTTCGACAAGGATGCAGCCTAGAGTGCTTCAGTGGCAGCATCCACATGCCTGGTAAGCCTTTCTAGTATTGGCTTGCTGATGTTGCCGATGTTGAGTAAAAATCAGGAGCATGTAAGCGATCAGGGGGGGGTTTGGATTCGACCCTAGAAAATCTTACACCTTCTCAGCCATAACTAGGATTTGAGAAATTATCTAGTTACACGGAGTCTACTGCAAATCTTTGGAAAATACAAATATTCAAATATAGCACCAGTATGCTATAGCCTGACCACGAAAAAGACACTGAAATACCAGAATTGACAATTGCGTATGATTTGAAACCCTAAGCTAATAAATCCAGGCATTTGTGGTAATGATACAGAATAAAAATATGGCTTTTGTCAACTTATACATATGTTTTGTATCAATAGTTATAGGCTAGATGGGTTTGTGCTCTTAAAGAGTACAATACCAAACCCTTATATCATCCTGTATGCCCTTGCTAGAGTTTACTTCGCTACTTCGACATGGTATCATGCTAGGTAGGTCCCACCCACCCGCACTTCCGCCCTTGCCTACCTTAAAGCACCCTACCCCTAGCCTACCTTAGAGCACCCCACCCCTTAGAGCGCCCTGGCTCTAGCTAGATGCGCCTGCCCTACCCGCCGCGCCGCGCTGGACCTCTGCCCGCCACGTCGGCCCCAGCTCGCCGCACCGCGCTGGCCTCTGCTCGTCGCGCTGGCCCTCTGCTCGCCGCGCTGGCCCTCTGCTTGCCGCGTCGGCCTCAGCTCGGCGCGTTGGCCCCAGCTCGTCGCCTCGGCCCCAGCTCTCTGCTGGCTCCTGCACCCCTAGCACGCCGCGCTAGCCCTAGCCCGCCGCGCTAGCCTTCGCTCGCCGAGCTGGCCCTCTGCTCGCTGTGCCGGCCCCAGCTCGCTACGTCAGCCGCAGCTCGACGCGTCGGCCTCAGCTCGACGCGTCGGCCCCAGCTCGTCGCATCGGCCCCAGCTCTCCGCTGGCTCCTGCACCTTGTGCCGGCCTCTACTCGCCGCGCTGGCCCCAGCTCGCTGTGCCGGCCCCTGCTCGTCGTGCCGCCTCTCGTTCGCCGCCGGCCCCTGCTCGGCGCCGGCCCCAGCTCGTCGCCAGCCCTAGCTTCACGCCATCCCTTGATTGCCACTGGCCCCAGCTAGTCGCCGGCCCCTGCTCGCCCTGCCGGCCCTAGCTCGTCGCCGGCCCCAGCTTGTCGCCGACCCCTGCTAGCCGCGCCGGTCCCAACTCGCGCCGGCCCCTGCTAGCCGCGTTGGCCCCTGCTCGTCGTGCTGGCCCCTGCTCGTCGCTAGTCCCAGTATGTCGCTGACCCCTGCTTTCTCCTCTATGCCGGCGGGGGCGCCGGCCGCTCGCGCTATCGCGCCTCCCCGTGCTCCATCGCTCTCAATCGCTCTCCACCGCACCCCATCACAATCCAACGCACTCCACCCCACCCATTTGCACCCGTCTCCTCCGTCTGCCGCAGCACTGCGCTATGGCATATGCCGTTCTTCGCCTGGACACAAAGGGGCATATAGTGGATTTCGAGGCGTGGCTCACCGACCTGCGCCGCCAGCTGAAGGGTCAGCGCCAAGACGGCCAGTCTCTGGCTGTCCACGTCGACGGTAAGCTGCCCTGCCCCGCCATGCCTGCTGCCCTTGGTGAAGCCGCCACGCCTGATGGGCGTGAGGCTTTTGCAGCTGCAGAGCCCACTGCTCAGTTAGCTATTACTCATACCCTCCCACTGTCCGAGCGTCCCCGTTTTCAGGCCTTAGAGATGGCGAAGGAATATTTAGATGCTGTTATCGCTCACTATTCCACTCCCTCCTCCGCCTCCGCAAGTTGTCTCCTCCTGCGCTTGCTCTTCCCTGAGCTTCCTTCCTTATTGTCGTTGATCTGGCCACCCATCTGCGCGCCCTGGAGTCTAGCTACCGTGCTGTTAGCACTGAGGCTCAGCTTACTGTACTTCCTCCCCCAATCGGCAACACCCTTTACATCCTAGCCACGCCCCTCCCTGACCGCCTCGCTACAACCCGCGACACCTTCCTTAGTCTCCACTTAGCCAACCTCACCCTTGCCGACTTAGTTGCCACCCTGTCGGTGATAGAGACCCGCCAGTGCACTATCGCTTAGTCTAGTGGTATTGCGGCGGTCCCTATCTTCTAGGGCTGTCCTCCCTCCCAGTACACTTACGCTGACGCTTCCACCACTGTCGCTGAGACCGCTGCGGCGACCTCAGCGCAGCCGCGTCAGGGTAGGGGCCCTCGTCGCCCCAAGGGGGGGCGTAGGGGAGGGATGAGTGCTAGGGGTGGTGGGGGTGAGGGGGGTGGAAGGGGCGGTGGGGGTGGTGGGAACGCTGGGGGTATGGACGAGGGGGTGGGGGCTGACGCCCCACGGGAGCAGCATCAGCATCAGCAGCAGCAGCAGCAGCCGTGGGGGCTCCCGCCGCCATGGTGGCCAGGCGGCTTCGGCGGTGGCGGCCGTGAAGGCGGCCCTCGCAACTCGGCGTCGGGTGGTGGCTTTAGTTCTTTGAGTTGCTAGTACAAGATTCAGTCTGGACCCCTTTGTGGCACCTTCTGCGG